TTGGCAAAAACTTTCTCGAGATGCCACACTGATCGCCACATGAACGAACTCGCGACAGCCGCCGTGCCGGCACAAGCGCAGCCAAAGGGCAATGACGACTTTGACGTCATCCTTCTAGCTTCGTCAGCTTGGATCTCAGTAGAAGTGGTGGAATACCGAAAGCTGGACGGCACCTTCAGCTCACCTTCAATGATGTCAATGTCGCGAAGTGCGGCGTATAGCGCTAGATCACGCATGCGAACTTTATTTTTTTTTATAAATTGATTCCCAAGCTGTATTTACTGTTGAGATTCGATAGACAATACACACATCTTCACGGGAACAGATTTCGAAGGCTGTCTCAACCACGAAATTTTGTGTGAGTACCCTTCAAAGGGCAAACTGGCTAACGTAAAAAAAAAAAAGTGTGCCACAAATGAGGGCGCCAAAATATTAAGTAGTGATCGAGTAGACAAAATACGCTTACGAAATATGAGTTGCGAGATACATGTAAAAAACGATGAAAAATAAATTAACACTTCTTAAAACACGAGAGTATAAGCTCGGTTGCGATGAGAGAAGGTGAAATATCGAGGTATTATTGTGCACAAAAGCTCTCGGCACGACTGCTTGCATGTCACTACGCAGCCACAATAATGTTGACTGAGAAAAAATCTTCATGACCAACAATGCTACTAAATCTCGAAGTGCTCACGATGTGAAAACTCTTAACCGACCGATACCGAACCTCCTACTTTAATGACCTCTCGTCGAAGGCGTACCTAAAACTTTATGGCAAGATTGTGTGACTGGTAACGTGGTTTAAGAGTTAACCTTTGTCGTCGCTGAACAGAGTATCTTTGAAAATGAGAGAAGAAAAAGAAAACGTACAGTTGGACGCATTCAATCTTGATTACTTTGTAAGGTAGCTTACGAAAGCAGTACCACGTGACCACACATCCTGGACAACTTTTTGACCGCGGCTCACGTGACGTGACGTCATCAAGATAAACAACAGGCCTAACACTGATCAGAGGCGTCGCTTATGAACAGAAGCACTTTAGAGACGATATTCCTACATTTTTCTCTCTTTCTCAAGCAGACAGCATTGCCCGGCTCCCATAAACACTTATTTCGTTTTGTTAATAACATGTAGCATACTTCTAAAATTAATCGTGCTCATGTTTACTTCCAAATGTTCATCGCAACAATTACACACTTTTGTGCCTCCCACAAGGCGCAAAATTTGTTCGTCTAGTGAGAGAACGACGTGTCTAGTAGCTCTACCTTAATTTTTTCAATGGCTGATGTTCTTACTCGTTCACTTGACCAGTGGTACACGACCGTCTTATCGTTTCTTCATCAGAGCAGGCGTCCGCCGCAGAGGACAGCGAACCGGCAATCTCGCTAACACCGGAAGCGAGTAAGCTGATTTCGTGACACTTGTAGCTGCCTCGTGATTCGTGCGACGACACCACACCCGACAGCAATGTTAAGATACGATGAAACAACGTGGGCTGCTAAACTTCTCGAGGTGCGACACTTCTCTGTGTGTGTTTGAGGAAAACGCGACGGACTTAAGCTGCGATGCAACTGCAGATTTTAAAACTTGCCCGCGTAAACCAAGGCGTTCGCCAAATGAGTTCCATTTTCAAGCTAGCTGCTGATCCATCTCTTTCTTAGTCTTCTTTCCTTTCTATAGTTCCCCCTTTCTTCGGCATCAGGTGCAAGGTAGCCAAACAATCCAAAGCTTGGTTAACTTTCCTGCATTTCCTCTTCGTTTATCTCGCTTTATCTATCTATCTGCTCCAAGAAGATGCAGTCATATTACCTTGGTTTAATTTATTTACCTATTCCAGCAAATGAGCCGACAAGCCGGCACTACAGACGTTCAAACCAACTAACACAAAACAGCCTCCGCGGTGGGAAATGAAATAAATAACGCCCGAAGGCACCCAATTTCATATTGCTGAGGGTCGTATCCATGGCAACGCTGAAAGCAAGGCCAGTGTGTGCCAAATGCTGGACACCGTTGGCACCACAGTCCTCTGGGGATCTTATGGCACTGGCAACAGCCACGAAATGAAATCCCCACCCTACGTGACATGACGTGAAATCATGGCACAGACAGAACGAATGTGACTTGTGACACTTTTAAAGTGACAATGCACGAGCAGTAAAAACTTTAAAAAGCTGCCTTCTAGGACATATGGATTTTTCTTTTTTTCACTTCTTTGTGGTATGGCTACACTCTAAATCAGGTCCTGGTTAAATTCTGGCTATATCCAGGACATCAGACAAAAAAAAGCCTGCCGGTTTACTGGCTATATCTAGCACTTTAGGCGGGACTTCGTTAAAGTGCACAAATGAAACAGCGCCATAGAGGCGTGACATGAACACGCGAATATTACGAACGATTGCATATGCCGCGGCTACTACGACTCACGTAAAAGGCCCCAAACCAGACTTGTCGGGCACATATTTTGTGACTACGGGCGCCGATCAAAGCAAGCGCCGATCAAACAACACAGCACAACCTTCCGACATAGTTGTATAAACTGTGTCATATCGATAACAAGCTATTCCTCTGAAATATCTCTCAACATTACAATCGACAAGACAAAACACGCGGAATATATATTCGCGTGACAACTCACTTGGGCGGCTTAATCTATCACCACCTATAAAGTTGGCGGCCTTCGAAGGGTTCGCTTCTGTGAACCCGACGACAGCGAGTCGAGTTGACGCGACCCGATCCGCTACCGTTTGCAGGAACGCCAAGGTTCGTGTGAACGTATCTCAAATCACACTATCTTAAATTTCTGACCACTAGCCAGCGCCAAAACCTTTCTCGAAGCAATGCATCTTTAAAGGTGAAACACTGAATTTGTTTAGATTGACAAACTATGCTCTGGGAGCTGTAATGTCGCTCATTTCAACGCCGTGAGTTTATTAATATAGAATAAAATGAAGGCCAATGTTTGGTTTTTAAATTTCGCGCTGAAGTCTCCGCGCATAACGTCAGGGATTTGAAAGCGCATTTTTCCTATTTTAGCTCGATCGAATTTCCTGAAAATTGGTATGTTAATACCGAGTCCCCACGGAAAACAACGTACTTCATTTTTAGTGATTAAGAACTAAGCCGTGAAAATCAATGACCTAACGGTGCTAGGTTCAGAAATATCAAAGTGGCGTCGACACCAGCAATTTTATTTTGCGTGTTTTCTCGCTTGCCCAGCGTCTTCGCGGGACGAGTATGGTGTTTTCGGAATCTCGAAAAATTAGTTTACTAGCATGAGAAAATCGTTTTTCTTTTTAGCGTGCCTTTAAAGTTCGTTTCCGGAATTAAAACACCTTTAGAACCACAAATGCTGTAGGCCCACGTGCTCAGATTTGGGTGCACGTTAAAAACCCCAGGTGGTCGAAATTTCCGGAGCCCTCCACTACGGCGTCTCTCATATCATATGGTGGTTTTGAGACGTTAAACACCACAAATCAATCAAGTCAATTCTTTAGAACCACTGCGAGCAATATACGCTATTTTACTGGTACGTGTACTCCCAGAAAAATAAGATTTCGAAACAGCTCGCAGAACTCGTTCTTACAAACGCGCCACTCCCAAAAACTGCAACCTCTTAACCTGCAAACAGAATGAGAAAACTGTGCGTCTTCGGTCGATCGTCCTTTAAAAGACATTCGCTTTCATGTCGAAACAGGCACCAAAACAACAATCATTGCGATGATCTACACCACTTTTCCATAACCGCGGCCTAACATCGATCACCCGCTGCCCTCCAATGTCTGCATAAAGGTATCGACACGCCACACTGCTTCTCGCATCGAACCGGCGGATGTTCAACAATGTCAAACACTAAAAATGGGCGAAACAGCGACGTAGTATACCCTTACGCACGACACTTAATCGCAGTACACTCCATCAATTAACAGCTACAACGCTTATCCCAAACTGTGCCAGTTCCTGCCAGCTGCGTTACAACATCATTCGTTCATAGCTCAAGGCTAAGACTAACACCGACCAATCGAAAACGACAGAAACGGCAAATATTTTAACTCATCTATAAGCCAAGCAAACGCTAGCCGGGTTATATAAATATTGCTAGAAATCCCGTCTTTTCGTATTCAACGTGTGCGCCACGCTTGTGAAATTTGCGAGCAAATGACGAAGCATAGACGGCGGCGCCACAAAAAACGAATATCAATGGAACACATTTCCAGGCCACCACTTGACCAGAGTACTGGCCTCTCCTGCAAAAAACCGAAACAATGTGCCAGAACGAGGGATAAGCAGGCGGCAGGATCAGCACTGATAGCGACATCTTGTAACGCTAAATTGAAACCCAAATAAGTGGTTTTCGTATAGTACGATTGTCGAAAACAAAAGTAGAAAAAGCAAGTCACAACGTTATATATCGTCGCTAACAACGCTCTTTAACAAGCCTCCTGAGTAACCTACAAATTAATTTTAAATTACGAGTAGCGATAACTAGACTTGTGACGTCGAATTAGACGTCACAAGCTTACCACTACCCGCACTGCTGCATGCTGCGCACGTCCACCTTTACGGCGTTGCGTCATTCGGGAAGCATCAGTGCACACAAACTCAACGGAGCGGGCATAACACTGCGACTAACCTAAACTATGCACAACTACAGATTAACTTTCGAGGAACCTTTCTTTTCGCTCTATTTCCTTCCCACACCGAAACGTTGCAACCGCGGGAGTCGAGCTTTCCTAAAGCCGGCGGAACATCACAGCTGTCCCGGTCCGCGCGGATGCCGCAACGCGCTCGGTACTACAACCGGTGCCGCGCCTAGGTGTTTTCTGAATTGTCCCTTAGGGCCTTTACACGCGCTTTCCGCACAGCCGCAACGCACGTGCCGAGACCCCTGCCGCACATTAGCGGGGGACAAATAAGCCAATTGGCGACGCTCTTTCATCCTCCGCAGCGACGCCAATTGGCTTATTTGTCCGCCACTTGCGCGCGGCAGGGGTCCCGGCACGTGCGTTGCGGCTGTGCGGGAAGCGCGTGGAACGGCCCTTAACGACACTACGCGAGACACACACAGGTCAACATGAGGTCACACACGATCGTACACAGCCGGGACCAAACGGTGGGTGCATAGCGCTCTCCGCAAGAAAAGTCCAACGGGGAGAAACTAACGCGTTGTGATATGCTTCTGCGATGCGTCCAGACGCTGATATAGATGCTGGGTTTCTTCGTTTCGTCAGCGGTTGCCGGGCGGGAGTTGCCCCGCGAAGAGACGACCGTCGCGGTTCGGAGACCACAAAGACGCTTCCGGTGACCAATCGAAGCGCGCGCTTCACTCAAGCGGGCGAAGATATGGGAAGTCCTCGTTGTCTCGATCCCTGGAAGAGATAAAAAAACGAGAAACGGGAGAGGGATAACAAGAGCACTGTCAGTAACACGCTTACGTTACCGACGAAATTACGCTGGCATCGTTACACTAAGCAAGGGTCGAGTAGGGCACTGATGTTGTAAACTGTCGAAAGTGCCACAGTTCCGAGGTGAACTCGGAACTCGCCCAGGAACTCGCAGTTGTGATGCTGCCCAAATATTCACAACACCAAAGGCGCACCGCGGACCCGTAAACACGTTACATACGCGCACGGGACCAAGGACAACTATATCCCCATACAACTAGGACTACAACTCAAGAGGGCGCTGGGCGATTTGGTAATGTATAACTACAAAAACTGCACGAAAAAAAAAGAACACAAGAGAGACAACAGCAGCATTTGCTCAGCCAGCCATCACATACGGGTCAATCAGTACCTAGCGATAGATTCAAATACCAGCATACGTAGCTCATAACAAAACAAGGTCTGATTACATGTACTTTTCATGAGTGATCTCGCAGAAAAACTTCAAGGGGCCCTGCAACACTTTTGCAAGAAACCATGGAATGGCTTCGCGCATCGACAACGAAAAAAAATGTTTTTTTAGAATCCGTTAAGCACGGGCGGAGTTATAGATATCAGTCGCACGCTCTAATTGCCGCCTCTCTCTTCTCGTTCACAACGAGCGCGCTGCAAAATAAGCAGGGAGGAATGGCACTGGGGAAAGAAGTTACGTCACGCGCACGTCATGAAGTTGGAATTCTTTTTTTTTTTTCGAACGCACGTGCTTACAGTCAGCGTGATCGCGATCGCAAACACGCGCCGGCCTCCCGCGGCGGCAGTGGTAAGTATGCAGCTGATGACGCTCAAATAAACTAATGGCTATGAATTTCAGGTATATGGCATCATTTACGAGAAAGAGGGGGGAATGACTTCGAGCTAGCTTTGAGGGTTAAAGGTAGATTGCGGGGAGCAGGGGGGGGAGGGGGGGCTTGAAGGAATAAATTTAAAAAATTGAACCCCGAAATAGTCTCAAGCGAAGCGGGACACCTCACAAGTGGTTCACAAAGAAAGGGACAAGGAGGGATTAAAAGAGAGAGAGAGAGAGAAAAAGTAAAGATCGGAAGAGGATTAGAGAAGTTCGCTGACAGCCGTGAAATTCACCGTCAGCCGTAAGGTTCACCGAGCGCCTCCAGATTGCCAGGTCAGCGCAGCGCTATAAATTTCGGCTCGCGTGCTCCCAGGAGCCTCGACTACCAATCGGCAACATTTTCTTGTCATGCTGAAAAAGTTATACAAGGACACTCTAGCATTAACACTATAAACAGTGACCGTGTCGACGCTAACGTTTCGACAATGAAAACAAAAAAAAAACGCGGAACCGTTGGTGATCATCACAATTAAGAAACGCCGTTTCACATACTACACGGTACGTGATGCCAATTAAAAAAAGTGGGGTGATTACATGTTAGACTGGCAAGACTACTAAATCAAACCCCTTCGTCTCAAGTAGGCGGTGGTATATACATACCAACATATATGTTTCCTTTGCGTCCTTTTCCAAATTCTTCCTTTTGTCAAGCGCCTACCACACAACAAAGAATTATTTATGGTAAACTTATGCGGAGAATGGTTGGGGAGAGGCCGTAATGACTGCCTGCTATCAGAAAACAGCCTTTATTGGCGAGTTTTTCACCCAAGCACGCAAACCGACAGAACCAACGAGGCGCTTCTATATCTCTCCGCATCTACACGTATTTTTGCACGAGAGTCGACCGCGAGGAGGGGGCGTACACAAGAGGAGCGACTCGTAGTACGCGCTACTCGGCACAGCAGGCTAGGCATTTCCAGCAATGACGAAAAAAAAAAACGGAAAGGAGGGGAACGGCCAAATCGAAAGCGCGGAGATAAGGAAGAGAATCGCGAGAAAGAGCCCGCCGCGATGTAGTTACAAAACACACACCCACACACAGGAGGGAGTGCTTTATACGGCAAGGAGAAGTCACGAAGTCGGGAAACGGAGTTGTTGCGGCGGAAGGGCGATGAATATTTTGTCCGAACGAGCGAAAATGGCGAGTTCGGCAAAGAACGCCCCGAGGAATCGGAAATCGGCGGAAGTAATCGGCAGCGCGCGGGATTTCTTTTCGCGCATGTGGGCGCGCATTTATACCGCAGAAAGCATCGCTCTACGTCACCGTCACCCCGTTCGTTTTCGAAGGGAAAACGGGTCAAAAGTCCTCTCCCCTGACGAAAATCGGTGGCGTCACGATGACGAGACGGGGCGTTTGACGGCTGTGAGAGCGAACGCTCAAGCGGGTGAGCGGCCAACGCAAACGATCAATCCAGCGGGAAGTACGAATCCATAAACGGCCAATGAAACAGCGAAAAACAAAACAACAAACATTTGATAGACTGTAGAAAGACGTAAAAGTGAAAAAATGCAAAGACAAACGACGGGCGAAATGTTCGCGAGAAGTCACAGATAAAGCAGCTCCGCTTTCTTGGAAGCGAAGAAATTCACGTTCCGAGTAATAAAAAAAAAATGGTAAGTTTTGCAGCTAAACAACGAACAGGTGAGGAACCCGCGCGTCCATTTTCCTTCTGCTCGTCTTCGCAGAAAACTCTTACGGGAAAAGCTATAGATTGCAGCCAAAGACGTCAACATAAAAGGAAGGAGGTAACGCGAAAAGAGTACCAAGCATTACTGAAATACACGCAACGATGGCGCGGACTTGTGAACAACGCGAAACGCGCAGTGTCCAAACGAGCATCGCAGCTTCGTACGCAATCAAAAACATAACGAGGAGAAAAAGCTGCTTGCGTGATGAGTCTGTTACGGAGAAAGGAAGCGATCAACGGCCCCACGATATTTCACCGGAATGCAATGCGGGATGCTAACAGTGAGTGGAAGTGCAAAACTTCCCTGCGCGTCTTCCAGGAAACCGCAAATTGCGAAACCGTATACAGTCTAAGAGGGGGCGGGAAATCATCAGGACCAACAAAAAATAGGGGAAAAATATTAGGGAACACTTGGCGATCCCGCACAGCCACTAGCTTCTACTGACACTAACGATTTCTCGAGGAACGCTGCTGGTTTACAGGCGAAGCATGACGGGCGAAGAGATTTCGTCGAACGTTGGAACGCCCCATGATCGCATTAATCCTCCCAAGGTCGACCCGGGAACATTATGCGGCGTGACCGGCGCTATCGTCGAAATGTAAAGTCCACAAGAGTTGAGTCACCCGGCACAGAACTTGATGCTTCGGCCAACGGCGATTAATCATCGAATTGCGACGGCGCGCCACGCCCGGGTAAAGTGCCAAAGGAGCGGTGACTGCGTGCATTGCGGCCTATTACGTACGATTCTAAAGAGTTTAACAATCAAATAAGTTTGACGGGTTTGGTGAGCCAAAACAACGATATGATTAAGAGGCACGTAGTTGTTCAGAGGTTCGGGAAATTACGCCCATTCACGGATACGCGCGCTTCGAAGTGACGTGAATTTCTTAGCGGTGTGATTTTCGGGGCCTGCGGATATAAGGCGCGAAGGAAAGAGTGCATTCACTCGATTTCATGTCGTCGTTCTGCGCTGTGTGGACCGTAAGTCGCAACTCAGGCATTTATTTGCTTCATATTTACGCCCTGAAGCATCGACATCAACGCGTATTCGACGGTATTTTGCAGCGTTTTCTAGATTCATTCTGAATATATCGGAGGCAATGCCTAGTATAGGCATCGCTAAATAAACACAGCTAATCTCCTTAATAAAGGCAGCACATACCTGACGTCTTGTCCCCAGCATGAGGTGGCACGAAGCGGTAGCCGATTTCACCATTCATTTATTGCTGTGACGACAGCGGGCGAGTAGCAAGCGTGAGCTTGGATCGAAGCGGGCGGTCGCGTCTACAGGGGTGCTACCATGCTGACTTCGAAACCCAGCTATATACCGGCCCTTACGGCCACGGCTCAAGGAGTTCGCGTGGGCAACTGGCAGAGAAGAGGCCAGCTTAAGGTCCCATTATCAAACCTGGCAGCGCCCGGGCGCCGCTGCGGAAAATCATTTACAATTTCCCATGTAGCGCACGCGTTAACATCCGATAAAGATAAAGAAAGGGAGGGGGGGTAGAGCGTTTCAGATAGTACGTTCTCATTATTTTGCTATTGGCTTTTTTACACATGCGTGGCTGTGTTCTAGGAAATATGTTTGATAAAGTTCAGTTGTAAGTACAGCCTTGTCCTGTGCGTTACTTTCCTCTTGTGCTCACGTTTGTAGCTTGCTGGCACCCTTCCCTTCACACCTTAATCTTTGACTTGGACCCACCACGGTGGTCTAGTGGCTAAGCCACTCGGATGCTGAACCACAGGTCGCGGGCTAGAATCCCTGCCGTAGCGTCAGCGATTTCGATGGAGGCGAAAATGCTTGAGGGCCATGTACTCAGATTTGGGTGCGCGTTAAAAAATCTCAGGAGGTCGAAACTTTCGGAGCCCTTCACAACGGCATCTCTCATAATCAAATGGTGGTTTTGGGATGTTAAACCTCAATAATTATTATTAATATTGGTGTCTGCTAGTAGTGCATCCATACGCCGGCTTTCGTGCGCCCCGGTATATTTCTCAGAATAACTTGTGAGTCATCTTGCTGACGAATCGCATTTCAGGGGTCACGCGGTTGATGTCTGCCTACAACGATCTCAGCTACTCACGAGAAAATAGTCTGCTCTTCTAATCAACTAATTAAATCGATTTTCATTAATTACCGTGAAAGTCAATCGCCCTCACCTTCTTGCAACCATCTCCTCCGAAACAGTATAAGGCGCCTTGAATATGCGTTGAGTTGCTACGGACTACAATAGAAGACTCCTCAAACGGTTTAACTGCTTCCGCGGCGGGAAAAAAAAAAAACTTCTCAATGGGTGCAACCATGTTTAAGGAGTATATCGATATCTCGAAGCAACCTGTGCGCACTTACTCTAGCACGAGGATCCTCCTCCTGCGCATGCGCCGATGCGAACAACGGCGCACGGCGATCACGACGGTGACGTTGATGATGAGGAAGCCGACGATGCCGGTGAGCGCTCCCAGGAGCACGTTGAAGGAAGGCACGGCGCGACTGCTGCTCTCTTCGTCGCGCAGGATGGTCTGCTTGTAGACCGAGTGGTACGAGCCCTGGTAAGGGTCCCGCTGACGCCACTCGCTGCCGCTTCGAGAGTCGGACTGCGGCTGCTGCTGAGAGGGCCACGAATGCTGGTGGTGGTGGTCGCCCCCGACGTAAACACCTGGCGAGAACGAAAACCGTCCCTCTCGGCTCACATTCCAGAAGCACGACAGCATAAACACATAGCTGCTTACTACACACAGCTTCATTGTAGTTAGTCTGATTACTATTGTCTGCTGTCGGGCTAGTTTGTATAAGGCAGATGTTGAACAGACTGGAGCGAATGCTCGAATCGGGACGAAGAACGTAGAACCCGGACAAGCGCACACTCGCAACTAAGTTTCATTCATCGAAGAGATCTGCTTCACAACCCTGAGGCATGCGTACAAGAACGAGAAAAGTAAAGTTACACAATCTTTGGGAAACCACTTGATCGATTGATATCAACAACCACAAACCTAGCTATATACTCATTCTGATAAATGGTCACGGAAGCAACGCCGATACAACAATCACCGAATTTCTGTAGGCACATAGCCTCGGCCAGTTTCCGAGCCACCTTGTTTTTACTTTTCCGCAAAATAAATGTGTTGCCTAGCAATGGCCCACACGTGCATTGCTTGTAGTGATACGGCAAACGAGACCCTGTCCCATTTCTGGTAGACAGGGCGAGCTTTGCAAAGCGGTCATTAATACACCAGCCAAGGCATATATCTTCGCCCCTGCTCAGCGAAATTATACGCACACAACACGTTTTTGTGGGTAGGGCAGGAAAGCCATAACCCATTCTCGCTCCGCAATATCACGCCAACGATATCGTAGTTCTACCACATATAACCCCGGGAATCATACCTCTTATTTTACCGTCTATGCACAAGCTACCATTCCCGAGACTTACAGTTGCCTACGTAAATAACGGCTCCGGTTCTATAAATACATTCCTGTTTGTTATCGTGGTTGCCCAGCAATATCGATAAACGTCTCCTACACAAATCAACCAATTGAAGCTTGTTGTTGATACCATAAATTCATTTTTTGCGCTTTCGTTCGTCGCTACAGGTCGCTTGCTGCCGACTGACCTGTGGTGAACCTGAGCACGTTGGATGTGATCTTGGTCTCGGTGCTCGCCGTGGTGTTGCCGCCGGAATCTGGCGCCGCGCCGTCGGTGAGGCAGCAGTAGCAGATCATGTGGAAGTGGTACGTGGTGTTGTGCCGCAGGCCACTCACGATGAAGGTTGGGCCGCGGGGCATGAAGTTGGACATGACCTCCACCTGGTACGGGTCCTCCAGAGGCCCGTACGCCAGCTCGCACGCCGACAGTCGGGACGCCGGGTCTTCGTCGTCGTCGCCTAAGCGTTCTTTGCCAGCGCTTCCGGGTTCTAGCCTCCAGGCGATCTCGGCGTAGCTCTCGCTGGCGCGGCTCAGTCCCACAACCAGAGAGGCAACCTTCTGCTGCGCCGTCGAATGCGCCGTCTGCTGCGCAGCCTCGCTCCCATTGGTCTTCACTGTAGTGGAGAAATCGCGGGCTTTTTATGGGGAGTACTGTAAGTCAGTTGACACCCCTAAGAGTGTTTTGCGTATCTATAACTAACACTACAATAAGGGTGCTTTGACAAACCAAAACACACATATCATGGATGTTTTGAAACACCCATGATATAGGTGTTTTTTTGTTTGTCAGAGCGCCCTTATTATATAGGGCACGTGTTATAGTTAACAACACGCAAAGCAACTGATTTACAGTGTGGGTCACGAAACGTAATGCTCAAGAGTTCTTAGGTGGACAAGTTGGTTCACTAAAAATATTTACAGAACGACGCAAAATACGGGGCGGAGCATAATATGGAACAGTGGAATAACTATAAGCATGCTATCTATATAGTCTATTCACGGACATTACGGCGTTAGACGCACATAACATGCCAGAGTGAAATTCTTTCGTGGACTAGTTGATTCATTGACATAATGACATAACTGTGCATAATAGGGAACGGGGCGGAATTACTACGTGGGCTAGTTAATTTATGGACATTGTAGCGTAACCACTCAAAATGTGGAACATGGAAAATTCCCAGGTAGGCTATAGTTGGCTCATGGACATTATTGCGTAACCACGCAAAATATGGCGCACGCACTAGATATGTCATAGGCATTATGACGTAACAGCGCAAAAATGTGGGAAATTCCGAGGCTGGCTATTTGCTTTATAAGCGTTATGTCATACCAGTGCAAACTACGAACAGTGAAACACACTGGACACGGCGCTGTGTCCTGCGTGTTTCAAAGTCCCGTATTTTGCGCCGTTCTGCTTTAATCGTATCAAACGTGTTTTCGTATCACAGAGAGCTACTTCCCATGCGAACGTGAGTCGGCGAGATCAATCACATGAGTCGACTCGCTCGGACTACCTCCCGCAGTGAGTATTCTAAGTGAATCTGTTTGAGAGCCATCTGAAGAAAGCAGCGTTCATTCAAACACGGACGACGAAACATCACACGAGGACACCGCCCGTCTTCGTGTGTTGTTTCTTCTTCCGTGATTGAATTGGCGCTGATTTTTTCAGACCAATCCATGCCAACGAGCTCGCATCAATTCCATTCTAATTCGTTTGAGAGTAATTTTAGTGAGTCCGTATGCGAGTGGGTCTCACTTTTTTTTTTTTACATGCGAAGCATCTCTTGCCTGTGCTTAAGTGACGTCCCGCGGCGTCGGCGGCGTCCGCACTCCCACTACGCATGCGCGACTCTCCTCCTTCCTTCTCTCCAACAGCTGCACGTTACTCTCTCCACTTCTCTCCTACCACCTGCTTGCGCTCTCTCTCTCCTCTCTAGGCACCCCTAGCAAAGGCGTTTACACCGCCATTGCGCATGCGCGCTCCTTCCCCCTCCTCTCGCCTCGAGACGCCGACTCAGGCCAGGGCAGCTTCTGCTAGCGAATTTCTCGATGAAAAAAATAAAGAGCAATTGCTTGCGCTGCAGAACTGTTCACTGGATCTTGACCTCCAAGGTAGTGCCGGTGGAACATTTCTCCTGTGCGTTGTTGAACAACAAAAATTCAAAGCGTGCGCGTCAACTAAAAGCGGACTGTAGGTTTCCATATCCAATCGTAGTCTTATGTCTCTCACTGCCCATTAGCAGCAATTGACGTGTTCCAGTAGGAAACACCGGTCCATCACTGCGTGCTATGCGCTTCCACAGGTTTCTCTCCTGCACAACTCCGCGATGAGTGCCAGCATCAACGTCGCCGCCAGTGTAAGCGTTAGCACCCACTGCTTCGCATCTACGCACGGTTACCTTTAGCGGGAGATGGCGTAAGTTTTTTTAGAATATGCATGCGGAAGAGTTGTGTGAGCAGAAACGTCACCTATGACGTCACTCGCAGAGCCGCGAATCGCTGTAGATCCCGGTTTTGACAGCAGTGATTCTGGCAACATACCGAAAACCGCGAAACGTCACAGCGTACATTCTTGGCGCGTCCAATGACTCAGGTCGACAAATTCTACCCCTGTCACACAACTAATCTAAATGTCATTTAGAGCTTATATCATTCGTTTTGTACTTTCATCTGTTCGCTGTCACACGGCAAAGTGATATAATCCGATACAAATAATATTTTCTGTCGAATGGGTTAACGCAGCACATTCGCATTCGATTTCGGACCGAAAAGCGTAATCTCGACGTCAGGGACCTTTCAAAGGGATGGTTATTGACTCACGCATGTGAAACATTCGTAATTCATATTTTTTTTTTCGCTATATAAACTCAATTACCGAGTTCATGACATAGTAGTACGCGACGCACAAAAGTTTCTGAAAGAAATCTGGATTGATATGGCTGTACCCTTTAGATCAGGCGGCGGCTAACGCCACCAAGCCGTAATACTTTGTGAACCAAAAATTAGATTTATGTTTTTTTTTCTTTAAATGGTGAAGTTGAGGACTGGTACTTTGCGGTGAAGGGTTTAATTTTCACTCGTGCCTTGATTTTAGCCACCAATCAGATAACCTCCTTCTGGTGAATTCTACCCGCTTAAAGTCTTTTTTGCCCTCCCTGTCCCTAAACTCCAGCGCTTTGAAAAACTCTGCGCCATCATCCTGAACTATAGGGTCAAGCTTTTTACGAAACATTATGAAGTGTTCGGCAGTTTCCTCTTCCTCTCCACACGCACTGCATACCGTGTCTACCGATTCGTATTTGGCCCGATATGTCTTCGTTCGCAATATACTCTCGTCCTGGCCTCAAACAGTAGGGAACTACCCCGAGTACTATCTTAGATCCTTTCCTTGGCAATTTCCTGCTTAACATGCCCTACCCGCGCAGCGACACCGGGGTGCTATTCTGAACACTGTCGAAATCCGCCATATTGTCAAATTTTGTAATGGCGACACTTTAAGCCAATCAGAGTGGTCGTAGCAACTCACTTGACCAATAAGCATCGATCAATGGCGGAATCTGACAACATGGCGGAATTCGACAATGTCCAGAATAGCACTCCTGCTCTCAACTACAGTGGCTGGCATGGCGGCTTTACGCCGGCCTTGTTTTAATAGTGCTCTGTTGTCGTTGTAGCCTTGATCGCAGGTGATGTTGATCACCCGATAGCACGTGTTTTGGTTATGACAATGGTTACTACGCGAATCAGCTGCAACCATCTTATTCCTACAGCCTGGCTGTCAGTCCTGCCTTTAGTGTCCATCATACAGTCGGCGACACTGATTTCCGATTCTCTCTTGACTTGCACTTCGTATCAAACAGATGTGGCAAGTTGTGTAAAACAGCTGCGCTTATATTGTTGGAGCACTTCATTAGTGGTGCAAAAAATTAATTTCAAGGCTTGGCTCACGTGACAAGCGAAGCAGGCGTGCGAAACAGCCGCGATGTTTTACGTATATACACTACGTAGACAACGCATACACGGTAACGCTAAATCTGAAAAATAGCGTACTGGGTCATTCAGCGTAGTGCACATGCGCATTTCAGTCCCACTATTCCGCTAAGCCCGCTATCGCACTAAACTATAACCTTCTAATAACTGTCTAATGACCAGGCTCGTACTGCCCATTTGCTGGACCAGGCGACAAGTCAAGAACGAGAGAGGGAGAGAGAGAGGGGGGGGGGGACTTGACGGCCGAGCAGACAGAAGTCCGAACAACGAAGGACGCATTATATTCAGCTCTCTAACCTAGTTGTATATCTAAAACGAACTTGTGGCAATTAGAAACCTCTGCGTCAATGAACTAAGTAAAACGAACTTCCTTACAACAAACTGAAATGGAACGGCGCTACGCGACCTGGGAGACCAATAAAATTTCCACCGCTGTACAGCGACTCTTAAGTAGGCCCTCACCACTCCCTCCCATTGGTTACACCCAGTTTTATTCGCCACCATCAGTAGTCGTCCCCCTTTAGAGGATCCATCACAAAGTCACCCACCAAATTGCTGTTTTCATCGGAAAATGGACGTAGAGAGCCTATTGTACCTATACGTATATGAAATATAAACTCTAAAAGAATATTTCACTGCAAAATTAGCCCTAGGAGTCAGCAGCTATAAGCCCCGCCCACTGCCGGCGAGCGTCATTTTGTCATAACGTGTATGTCGCGATGTGCTCCACAGAGTGCAGCCGTCGTCTTCAGCCTAAGTATCAGCTGCTGCTAATCCTTCAGTTTTCAATAGCACGGTCAATAAAGCCTAAATAACTCCGTATACGCGTAGGTGAACCCTTAATAAAATTGCTGGGTGGAACACAGACGCTCGCAGAAGCAAGCGGTTTGTTACGTCACGGCTCGCGTGTGCGCCAGTGTTGTCGGACTCTCGGACCATTAGCACGTTTTAAAAATTAATTTTAAGTTAAATTATCCACGAAATTCGCTAAAATTTCACCAGCTTGTTTGCGAACAACCAAAGATTATCCCACACAATACAAATTATGGACGAAACTTGGGTGCCATGGCCCCTTTAACAACACACTCACCGGATAACACATCTACATTGTCTATCGTCGACGACTAATTTCTGAAGCAGTGATATTATTTGGTTAAAAACATTCCCGGATCTATAAAAATCGGAACTAAACTGTCGAATAACCTTCGTGCCTACGAAATTAGCTAGCTGCCCCTCGCCAGTTTAACGGGCCGTTCCGCAACCAGCATCGCTACCCCTGTAGAGGCAGGGCAAGCGAACTGTCCGACCGCTCTGAACAAACCTGGTTTGCGGTCAGCAACTGGTTGCGGTCAGCAAATTACGCGAGACGACCGGAGAGGTCACAAAACAGGGTGCTATACTCACCTTTTTTTCCCGGAAAGTGGACCTCGCAATTTGCCCTAAATGTCCGAGCCACTTCAGTAAAAGGTCAATTGGATTAGCCTAGACCACGCCTGTTTCTGCGCACAGGATTATTTTTATAGCCGATGCACTATTGACCGTACCGCCAAACAAAACATGCTGCCAAACCACGTCTTTTACTCTCTCTATCTAGCCGCCACGGCGGTCTAGAGGTTATAGT